TGGTAAATGACCGAAAGATCTGGTTCTTGACCTGTTGTCATAAGATCACCAGAGGTTAATTCTTTAGACGGGGGCACCATGCTGATCATCTGGTGCTATTATTCCCTCTCCTTCACATCTGCCAAATCATACTAAAGAGGCAGACTATAATTTAATATCAGTATGACTTTTCTGTGTATGCACCTGCTATGGTTGCCCCAGAGGAGAAAGCAGGTGGCACTAATGGGAAAGAAATGGCCCATGTAACTTAAGAATAAGTGCAGTACACACGTTGAAAAAGTTTGAAATCCCTTTTTGTGCTGCTTACTTTTCACTGATTGATTTGAAGAAAAACATTTGTAAGCCCAATCTATTTAGAGTCATTATTAAAAAAAGTTAGCAGCAATATCAATATCTTTATTAAAATAAGAAAACATTTCCTGTCAGACTTATCATCACAATAGTTTAGAGAGAATAAGGCAGAGCAGAAAGTGAGTTAGTTTACAAGGATAAGCAACAAACCAAACTGTTTTTTTAATTGACTATAAATAACTGCACCCACACAAATACACAAAGCTAGTCTTCTCCCCCCACCAGGGATACCCTCTTTCTCTTTGCACTAAGGGCAAGTTGCATGATACATGTACACACTCCCATTCTTCACACAAATACGTCAGGCAGGTGAATTTAAGTCAATTAAAGGCTCCTTGTGGTAAATAGCTTCATGTGGCATGACAGACATCTGTCTATGTCTCAGTCTAATTTTTGATTCTCCATAGAAATGCTGCATGATGAAAATTTTCAGCCTGAGCTAATGGGAGTGTGCTTGCCCTCAAGTTCCCCTCCTCACCCCATGATCCTGTCCACCTGCTCTTTCAGCTACTTGATTCCCTACCAAAAGCAGCTAAGGCAGACTAACATACATAAGTTGAAGCATAGCAATGATGGAGATTCCCACAGGACTATTCTTGTGAGGCAGTCACATTTCATTGTGCTATAATAAAATGAGACAGCCCATCTTCCCACTATCACTGTTCCTGACACCAACAGCTGAGAGTCTGCAGTCTTCAGGATCCAGTCTGCTGTTACTGAAACGGTTCAGATAATACACTGGTTGAAAATTGTCATACATCTATGTCAAGCATTTTTAAATTCTTCATGAATAGCTCAGGTTGCAATCTAATATTCCTCAGACAGTATTTATATTCCATTACTTTTGGAAGTTATTACCATGTTACTGGAGACCTGGCCCATTCAATAAGTAACATGTTTGCAATGAGTAGCAAACACAGAAATAGCTGTAAGTTATGTAGCCTTTACTATACTTATTAAATATGGGCAAGTTTAAGAGTTGCATTACTGTTAAAGAAAAATGAATACAGATCTGCAAGCAGCTGAAAACAATTGCAATAAGTAGTTTAAAGAGAAGTAGCATACACTACCATAAAAAGAAAAGTTGTATGTAAGTACAATGAAACATTACAATTCTTTTTGCTGTCAAAATTAAGATGGGAGAGGTATTAAAGAATGATAATGGTTACCTAAATACATCTAGAGAAGAACTGGTATTGCCTCAGAGAGGCGAGGGCTGCATAACGTATCTGATTTTTTTTCAATTAATAAATGCATTCACCCTTGGAAAATGAGACAAAATTATAACAACCCCTGTCTCAAACCACATGCAGTTTAAAACACTGAGAAGGAGAGGAAAAGGCATATTGTGAAACAAGGGAAAGAGCCAAGTTACTCTAACGGGATTCATTTACCACTGTCCCATCTCCACATTTATATCAGAAATAGGGATTGTCTACTTGGGTGCAGGGTTATTTTACACTGACCTGGAGCAGGTTAATTGTTACACCTAAGGCAGTCTGCAGTAGCTGTATCCACCTGGCTAGCTGCCTCCTTCAGGTTGGAATTGTTGTTCCCACGCTGCTAAGACTTTCTCTGTACTAAGTGCTCAGCATTTTAGGTAGGTATCCCAGCATCCTTTGTCCATCTGCTGGGCCCTACATGCAAAGTGAAATTCCCCACAGGACATCATGGCATACTTAGAGCAGGGGCAAGCAATTATTTCAGGTGGAGGGCCACTTACTGAGTTTTGGCAAACCACTGAGGGCCGCATGACAGGCAGTCAGGGGCAGATAAATATTTCTAAATTTTTTAGGGACCCCGCAGGCCGGATATAATTGCCTGGCAGGCTGCATTTTGGCCACCCCTGACCTAGAGCAAGGCTGTTTCACTTCTGGGCAATAAAGGGCTGCATCTACCCTCAACCTCGCTGGGCACATAACCAAGTTCCACCCCCACCCGTATGCACAGCCCAGCTCCCCCCACCCAGGATTACATGCAATGCACAGGAAGCCCACCCTGCTGCAAGGGTAACCCAGCTTCCCTCACCTTCCTGGCCATGCCTACAGTACAAGTAGCATACCTGCAGCACAGGTCTCTCCTGGCACAGGCTGGCATGCTCCCCTGCTGCACACAGCACTGGCAGCCTGATTCCCTCCTGCTGCACTGCCTCACCCTCCAGGAGCCAAGACAGGAACCAAAAGCCAGAGGAGGAAAAAGGAGTCTGGAACCCCCAGTCATTGCTGCCCAAGAGCAATGGGTGGAATGGCATCCAGACAGGAGCCTGCAGGCTGCATGTTAACCTCTCACAAGCCACTGGCTGCCAGTTGGACAGCCCTGACCTATAGGAAGCCATTTAGAAGCAACAGGGACCCAAAGGTAGAAGAGAGGGTCAAGCACATTTTTTTTGATCCCTCTCATATTACCCCGTTGTTCATACCTGGACTAGCCTGGCACCATTCTCAAATTGTCTGGCAGCCATCCCCCTGAGGGGAGATGAACTCATAAAGACAAATGGCTTGCCTAAGTAGCTTGCGAGGGGTTAACATACAGCCTGCGGGCTCCTATCCGGATGCCACTCCACCCACTGCTCTCAGGCAGCAATGACTGGGGGTTTCAGACTCCTTTTTCCTCCTTTGGCTTTTGGTTCCTGTCTTGGTACCAAAAGCTGGATGCTACCTAACATGGTAGCATCCAGCAGCCATGTGCACGGTAGACACTAAAAAATAAAAACCACACCACCAGGCATCAAGTACTTAACACTTATAAAAAAAATATTATGCGTGTTGAGTGAAAGATATTTAATGGCCGACTTCCTTTCCGCAGGGCTGTCAGACAGGACGTCCACGCTGGTGTCTTCATATGCTCCTGTAGTACAAAGAGCTCATTCGCAAGGTCTCGCCTTTGTCACAGTCACTCGGTCTGTTTCTGTCTACGAGGTCTGCAGTAAAACCTAGTTTTAATCCTGGGTTTTCAAACAATCCAGTTTAAGCTCCTTACTGTTCATCTGACATTATTGGGTGTCCTGGGTATGTTTCCTGCTTACTCAGCCATGCTCCCATTGGACTCCTTGAATCATCATATTTTCTTGGAGTCCTGCATGAGACATGGTGCAGTGCTGTTGTACAATAATGCTAGCCTCAGTGCCACTAACTCCAGGGCTCCTGAGAGACAGACAATGAAAGGCATGATGGGATCCCAGCTGTGATTCCAACAATCACACCTACTGCTGTGCCACAAGTACGTGACTGTGGGTTCCTCCTGCACTGCCATCATGCCTTATTGGCAGTGCAGAAGGCACTCAGGGTAATAATCCAGGGCTCCACCTGTGACCAGCAAGTAGCAAGACAGGTGCCCAATGGCTTGGAGCACCAGTCAGCTGATCAAAGGGCTCCACAGCTGGAAGCATTGATCAGTTGCTTGGTCCTGACCATCCATTTGATTTAACGCACAATGGCAACTAGCCACAAAGTTATTATACAAGATGTGTGTAACAAATAAAAGAATAAACCACAACATTTTCATACATGAATGTATGGCCAGGTTACTACTAAAGATGTGATTAACTGGTTAATCAAGTCATAAGTGTAATATCTACCAAAGCCCCAAGAGTATGGAGTAACAAACAGCCCAATTCTGGCTGTGCAGCAGCATTTAAAAAGACAAATGGCATCTGGTCAACATGACTGCAGATCATAGAGGCCATCCAGATGCCCAGAGTGGTTGCTCCTGGTAGGGTGAAAAGAGTGAGAGACGGCAGGTGAGAGGACTGCCAAATTAGTGAGAATCAGAGATGTCCATACAAACATTAGTTCGCACTAACATAGTGTAATCTCAAAAGAAGAAAAGAACAGAATATGCCAGTTAATGAATTTTAAGAACTAGGTCACACAGAGGCAGGTCATTTCACAACAGTTAAATTTACTGTGAACTAAGCCAGCCTGGTAAGGCAAGCCCCAAGATCCGTTGATGTGTTAGTGCAGTCAAAACCCAAAAGGGGTGATGGATAAAAACTCTAGAGAGAAAACTTGAAAAAGGAATTTTGTTATAAGTGATGGGGC